CTTATGAGTTTTGTTTACTATTCTTAAATTATTTTAAATAATTCTTATGGTTGTTAAATTATTTATCTTTTTCAGAAGGATTGAGTCAAATTGAACAATTAGGTGTTGACACAAAGTCGGTGGAGACCAATATGCTTAGTTGCCTACAGTTCAGTGCAAAATCAATTTTGTAAATAACTTAGTTGTTGACACTTTAATTTAGAATCCTACTGTAGTTTTAATCTTCTTTTTTCATTTTTTTGGTTTTTCTTACCATCTTAGATACTTCAGTTTTATCACCTAAAAGGCTCTGTCAAGTCTTGGAAGAGCATGGCGTGCTTGTGCTTCCTTCAAGCTCAACTAGGTACAGTTCTAAACTAGTATTTCTTGTTGTCTTCTGCTTTCTATGCAGAATTTTTTCGTAACTTTATTTTGTATTTGTTGGGAATTAAGTAAGATCAAATTCAAATCAATGAAGATAAAAAATAAAATAAAATAACCACACTAAACATGTTAAGAATTTTATATGAAGTATTCCAGTTGATTCCTGTCTTGCTTCTCCGCTCTAGGTTTCACTATGTTTTCTCTTGTGTTGTAGTCCTTATGGAGTATTTTAAAGTCCTGATCTCTCAAATATCATCCAAAGATGATCATGTCCGTCTTTATAAAAAAAGGTAATAAAACAACTCTCAAAATACTTAGGCTTCCTTTGGTGACGACTTTCTTACTGATTAAAACAACTTTTTAATACAAAAATTAAAATTTTTTTAGTAGAAAACTGCTTTAAGAAGAAGCAAAAAAACCATCACAAACAAAGCCTTAATTTTCGTAAGAAATTTCTTCCTGAGGTATTAATTAGGCTCCACAATTTAGGCTTTGTTTGGGACGGCTTTCTTACTTCGTCTTAAAGCCGCTTTCTAATACAAAAGTTAAAATATTTGTAGTAGAAAGTTGCTTTAAGAAGTAGTAAGAGAGTCCTCCCAAATAAAGCCTTAGCAACAATCTCTCTTACATGTTGACGACATTCCTACAAAACATTTCTGAATATTTATTTAAAATTAGCAGTATATTACATATACTCCTTGAAAACAGTCAAGCTTTTAATGAATAGCTCTCTGTCATAGCAACTTCATTTAGAGGAAAAGAGGATTGCTTTAAAAGTTATACATATGAAAGCTAGGTTCCCTAGGAGTAGGCTCGCTGAGTGAAAGTAAAAGTTGTAGCTAATATGAAGATTTCATACTTCTTTATGTAATTGTAGGCAGTCTTGCAGGAACTCCTTTGCATCATGCTGCAAAAAGAGGCCTTGATGGTACTTTATTCTACTTCTTTCTCATGGAGGTATATCTTTTTAAACGATTTGCATGGAAAACCTTTATAATTCGATGTATAATGAAATGCAAATTTTTTTTGATGTTTCAGTAAATCTTTTAGTGATGAATGATAATTGCCAAACCCCTCTTGATTTGGCCAGAGCAAAGGGAAATTCCAATGTTGTCCGTACTATTCAGGTATTGTTGAAAGTTAATTTGAAATGGCTTAAGTTTTATTCCTCTGTTTATCTTAATTTGAGACGTTTCCTTATCAAGTTCATTTCATTGTAGAATAGTATTTATTTATTTGTTGGTTGGCTAAGGGAGATTCATGGGCCAAGCATTTTGGAAGCTTTTTCTTCTCAATATGTGTCAAAGAAAATGTTTGTATTGTGTTTCTCTTCATATATTCTATTCTTCTTATAGTTTTTAGAAGTTTAGTAGTTGTGTATTAATATCCAAACTGTAGCTAATATGAGGATCTCATACTTCTTTATCGTAGGCAATCATGCAGGAACTCCTTTGCATCATGTTGCAAAAAAAGGCTTTGATGGTACTATTATTCTACTTCTTTCTCATGGAGGTATATCTTTTTAAGCGATTTGCATGGAAAACCTTCATAATTCGATGTATAATGAAATGAAGATTTTCTTTGATGTTTCAGCAAATCCTTTAGTGATGAATGATGATTGCCAAATCCCTCTTTATTTGGCTAGAGCCAAAGGGCATTCCAATGTTGTGCGTGCGATTGAGGTATTGTTGAAAGTTAATTCGAAATGGCTTAAGTTTTGTTCCTCTTTTATCTCTCTATTTATTTTAATTTGAGACATTGCCTTATCAAGTTCTTTTCATTGTAGAATTGTATCTATTTATTTGTAGGTTAGCAAAGGGAGATTCATGGGCTAAGCATTTTGGAAGATTTTGCTTCTCAATGGGTGTCAAAGAAAATGTTTGTATTGTGTTTTCTCTTTATATGTTTTATTATGCTAATAGTTTTTAGAAATTCAATAGTTTTGTATTAATATGCATGGTTTCTTGTTAAATTGTCTTCTATTTAACAGTTGGGCTGTTGCTGTACCTTGTGATTCTCGTAATCCCCCAAATCCAAGGAAGTTTAAGCTGGCTATATATCCTAATCTACAGGTATATCAAAGAGTTAGATGCTTAGGGGCTGATTGGGATACTGTTGTCTTTCATTTTTATTTTGTTCATATTTTAACTTGAATCAAAATATATTTGATCGATATTCTTATGCATTTACTATTTTCAAAAGCTAAAAATAAATTAAGGAAGGTGCCGCAGCTTTTCTTCATCTAAGAACATGAAATTGGTGACTAGAAAAGTGGATCTTAGAGAAGCAAGTGGATGTTGCCTGCATTCCATGTGGTCATATGAATGGATGCATATCTTGCCTAAAAAAGATGAAAGAGAAGAAAGGGAACTTAATACTTTGTCGTGCCAAGATCGATCAGGTTGTGAGGCTTTATGTTGTTTGACTTGATGATTCTGTCTTTGATCAGTTACTCTCTGGTCTATCTGTGATTTATGATGGTTGTAGTAGGAGCTGCTCTTTTTATGGACATGAATGTAACATTTATCACATAATTGAATTGGCTTCAACATGAGATCTGCAGTTGATGGATTAATTCCAAAGTATATTTTGTTCGCAGCTTATCATTATTATTACAAATCAAATGTGGATGCTAGTTCATTTCATAAAAAGTGTGATAATAATTTTACAGTATTTTATGCAAATTTTGTCCAAAATCCAATACAATTTTCATAATAGATGGTGCTTTTAGATCTTTATGCCCCACTAGTTCTCCATCTTATTCAGCAGGAGAAAAAAATTCATTACCAAATAAAAATTAGATAAGGTACTCTTACCGATCTTACAACAAAACGGCCATTCTTGACGAATGCAAATGAAAGTTTTGCATCTCTTTGCCTGATTTGTAGGTGATGATGATAAGAAACACCCTGAAAAGTTTCACTTGCTAATAATAAAACCATTCGCATTGTAAAAAATAGGAAATTTCATAACATATACAGATAGTTTCCAAATGTATACCAGATCAGTGAGCTCTCTAAGGTTTCGTTTGGGACGATTTTTGTTCTGCTTCTTAAAGCAGCTTCGTAGAACAAAAAATTTAAATTTTATATTAGGAAGCTGTTTAAAAAGCAATAAGAAAGTCGTCCTAAATGAAGCATAAGTGTAGCATCCTTCCACGTATAAATTTGTACTTCATCCTTAGGTTTATTCAAAATGAGCTTAGAATCATTGATTGATACTTGTAAAGTTATTATTGAATTTAAAAAATGGAATTAGCCTGTCTGCCTGTAGGCAAAAAGTTTTAACAGCGTAGCAAAGAAAAACAGGAAAAAATCTTGAATACGCTTCTGTCTTCCTGTAGGCAAAAAGTTTCACAAATCAGTGCTTTATGCAATGAACTACATTATTAAAATGATACCACTCTGAACTTGAACCTAGTTGACCCTGTTTTAGTAAACAAAAATTAATTAACTACATTATTTTTACTCTTTAAGCTAAAACTTTTTGCACATTGATTCAATTTTATTGATTCTTGCTTTTCAAGTAAATAAACATTCTTTTAAAAGATATATAGTTCGTCTTATGAATCATTTACTTGTGAACAGGCCTTTTATCAGATTCATGCTTCATTTGGGATGACTTTTTTACTGCTTCTTAAAGCAGCTTTCTAGTACAAAAATTTTAATATTTGTAATAAAACATTGTTTAAAGAAGCAATAAGAAAGCCATCCCAAACGAAGTCTCAATCTAACAAAACCTGCTTCTTAACACAAAACCACTCTTTTGAACATGACTTTTCCGCACCACAACAAATATAACGCTTCATTATTGGAAAGATTTCCAAACCTTTCCTGCAATGTATTATATACCTATTACATACAAATTTTACATTGTAAAATAAGCACGACATTTGAATTTAATTAATGAAATTCCAACAAGGAGCCTGATCAGACCTGATATAACACTACAACTGTTCTAAACGGCTATTTTAAGTCTCGGCTATCTATAACATCTATATCCTTCTTCGGGACATCTAACACCTCTCAAAAGGCCTAAGTGAACACTTCAGAACAAAGCCATCATTAAGCTCTCTATAACCATCCTAAAGAGTTCTAGTGCCTTTCTTGGAAAATCTTCTAACCACAAGGCATTATTTCCTCTCTTTCTTTTGAGTTTTAACCACTTTCACTCAAAGAGAAATAAAAAGCATTTTAGAGAAATGTGCATATAAAGAAAGATTCAAAAAGTTATCTACTTACATTTTATCAGTATACTCTCCAAGTTAGAGAGAAGCCCTTGGATTCTCAGGATTTTGCTGCCCTTGTTTTAAGGCAAGATTGTGAGGCTTGAAACTTTCCATTAAAAGTCTTATATTAGCATCCATAAAAAGCTTTGGATATTTTCTAGGAGGTGGATCTATAATGATTTGTGCCAAAACTTTTGAAAATCTATTGTGTATTTTATCTTGTGATTATTGTGCTTATTTTCTTTATATTCTATTTAATAACTAAACAAAACTATTTTTAAAACCAACAATTCATCCTCCTCGAGTGGTTTTCACTGTTTCCCTTCATCCCATATTTAGTATTGAAGCTTGGCTCTTAGGGATTTGACTTCAACTCATCCTAAGACTCTATCAAAACTAGTTCAACTTCATCATATCATGAAGGGTACTCTATTACTTGCCCTCCATTTTTCGAAGAGAAAGTTTATCCTTACTAGAAGACTCATATATTTATATTTATTATATCACAAGGCCTTAAGATTTAGGATATGCATAAATGAGATCATATGGCTCCTTCAAAACCTATTTAAAAATAGAGTAAGATTACAAAGCATAGAAATATTTTACATTCTGGAGCAATGAATTCTTGAGTTTTTGGTTTAGATAAAAGTAAGTACAATAGAGTTTCTATTTGTAAAAGGCATATAAAATGTTGCAAGTTAGTGTTATTCAAGTTAAAGACTGACTCAAAGTTAAATTTGAAGATTACGGATTTGTTTCTATGATTTATTCATAAGAGTCCAAAGTTATTGTGTCCTTTATGAGATTAAATAGCATCATCTTCACATAAGAATTAAATATTCGAAGCCATAAATTTATTTGCATTTTCTCTCATCTATATTTCTCTCAATTGTTAGTAAAGCAATTAAGCCACGAACACAAAAGCAATAGCAATCAAGAATCTCAAAAGCTATTATGTTAATGGACAATAACATGAAAATCTAGAAGCTGGAAATAAGGACAATAACTAAAAATTGTGGAATAGCTGTCAAATACTAGTCTAACTTAAGAGCATGAAGGAAACAAAAAAAGAATGAAATTGATTCGTGACCACATATCATCCAATTTAATAGATAAGGATGCCATCAAAATTAGAATACATATATTCAACATGACATTTTGTTAAAGAAAAAAAAAATAAATACGCCCTTTCATTTGCATCTATGAAGTCTCTTATACCACCCCAACTGCCAATGGTACAAAGACATTTTTTGATGTGTAGCGCAGTACCTGCAGAACATAACATAATAAACATGCATAATAGGAATGTTGATAAAACTTGATTGCGAAGAAAGAACCAAAGAAAATGAATAAGAAAAGGACATAAAGCTGAAGCATTGGCAAATCTCCCAAAGGAAAATCATGAAATCCTGTTATGTTAAGGGAAGTAACCTAAAATTTCAAGGCAAATGAGAACGGCAATGTGGAGAGAGGGAGATATATATATATAATTTAAAATAAATTTCATTTTAAAATTATTATTTATTTATTAATTTTATTTTAATTAATAAGATTTTATTTTATTATGATAATTACATAAATATTTAAATTTCCTCTAGAAAATAACTTAATACAAAATTTAATGTTTCTCCAAATTCCCCAAAGAAAGAAATAAAAATCCACTAAAGAATTCATGGTAAAAG